GCCTTCTCTAAATACATTCAATTCCACCTAGAGTCGGAGACAGGCCCATAGTCAGCCTGGTGAAAGGCAAAAGGTGTTTCTCTTTTTCAGAAGGTGGAACTTTTATAGATATTTGCTTATTTTTCTATTTAAAGTTTTTGAATTAATATACAATTCACTTTTATTTCATTTTATTTTTAAGCGAATGTTCTGGGAAGTGAAATAAAACAATAACTTGAAATGTTAAAATTATGTTACAGTATAATGTTTCGACAATATTACCACTAAACAGGTTTAGAGTGTTTTAGAGAATTCAGTATACAGTAAACTGATCAACTTTGAAGTATACTTAAGTTTTTACTACAGTAAAACGTGGTGTATTATATTATAATACATCTTATAGTTGTAGAAAACTACATCAATGTGTTATTTGTTTATAATAATATAGCTGTTGTGTTACAATTGCAACTGTAGAATCACCACAACAGATTAATTCTGTAAAGTATTATTAAAGTATACTATGGTAAAGTTCAAGTACTTTACTATAAAATCAAAACATGGTATTTACTATAAACACTATACTATATACACTATAAACATGGTATTTACTATAAACACTATACTATAAACACTATGAGCATGGTATTTACTATAAACACTATACTATATACACTATGAGCATGGTATTTACTATAAACACTATAATATATACAATATGAGCATGGTATTTACTATAAACACTATAATATATACACTATAAACATGGTATTTACTATAAACACTATACTATATACACTATAAACATGGTATTTACTATAAACACTATACTATATACACTATGAGCATGGTATTTACTATAAACACTATACTATATACACTATAAACATGGTATTTACTATAAACACTATACTATATACACTATGAGCATGGTATTTACTATAAACACTATACTATATACACTATAAACATGGTATTTACTATAAACACTATACTATATACACTATAAACATGGTATTTACTATAAACACTATGAGCATGGTATTTACTATAAACACTATACTATATACACTATGAGCATGGTATTTACTATAAACACTATAATATATACAATATGAGCATGGTATTTACTATAAACACTATAATATATACACTATAAACATGGTATTTACTATAAACACTATACTATATACACTATGAGCATGGTATTTACTATAAACACTATACTATATACACTATGAGCATGGTATTTACTATAAACACTATAATATATACAATATGAGCATGGTATTTACTATAAACACTATAATATATACAATATGAGCATGGTATTTACTATAAACACTATAATATATACACTATAAACATGGTATTTACTATAAACACTATACTATAAACACTATAAACATGGTATTTACTATAAACACTATACTATATACACTATGAGCATGGTATTTACTATAAACACTATACTATATACACTATAAACATGGTATTTACTATAAACACTATACTATATACACTATGAGCATGGTATTTACTATAAACACTATACTATATACACTATAAACATGGTATTTACTATAAACACTATACTATAAACACTATGAGCATGGTATTTACTATAAACACTATAATATATACACTATGAGCATGGTATTTACTATAAACACTATAATATATACAATATGAGCATGGTATTTACTATAAACACTATAATATATACACTATAAACATGGTATTTACTATAAACACTATACTATAAACACTATAAACATGGTATTTACTATAAACACTATACTATAAACACTATAAACATGGTATTTACTATAAACACTATACTATATACACTATGAGCATGGTATTTACTATAAACACTATACTATATACACTATAAACATGGTATTTACTATAAACACTATACTATATACACTATGAGCATGGTATTTACTATAAACACTATACTATATACACTATAAACATGGTATTTACTATAAACACTATACTATATACACTATAAACATGGTATTTACTATAAACACTATACTATATACACTATGAGCATGGTATTTACTATAAACACTATACTATATACACTATAAACATGGTATTTACTATAAACACTATACTATATACACTATAAACATGGTATTTACTATAAACACTATACTATATACACTATAAACATGGTATTTACTATAAACACTATACTATATACACTATAAACATGGTATTTACTATAAACACTATAATATACACTATGAGCATGGTATTTACTATAAACACTATAATATATACAATATGAGCATGGTATTTACTATAAACACTATAGTATATTCACTATAAACATTGTTATTTGCTTCATTTTCTATTTAAAGTTTTTGAATTACTATACAATTCACTTTTATTTTATTTTTAAGCGAATGTTCTGGGAAGTGAAATATAACAATAACTTGAAATGTTATAACTATATAAAAGTATAATGTTTCTACAATGTTACCATTAAACAGGTTTAGAGTGTTTTAGAGGATGTTTACTTCTTTTAAAAGAACATTCGGTGAACTAAACTAAAACTAGCCCTATTAAGGTTCTTACAACATTACCACCAAATGTGGTTACAATGTTTTAGAGAATGTTTTCTAATCTTTTAAGAGAAAGTTTTAGGAAGTGAAATAAATCAATATGTTGAAACGTAATGTTGTAGCAATGTTACTTCGAAACGTATTTAGAATGTATTTAGAGCAGGGGTGCTCAACCCTGTTCCTGAAGATCTACCTTCATGCAGATTTCAGCTCCAACCTTGCCGCTGCTCATACGGTTCTAGCGTTCTTTACTGAATTATATTCACATATCAAACAGTTGTCGAATGAATCGCGGTGTTTCCATGGTGCAGAAGTGAAAACAATACATTTATGATCAATATGCAGCCCCAGATAGCACAGACAGCTCATCTCTTACCTTATGCTGTGCGCTTCAGGGTCATTCTCCTCTGTTTTTGAGCTGATGTGCATAAGTAATCCTTTTATATGTCTGATGTGCTCCAAACACAGTGAATTATGTTTGATCAAACAAAAGAAAAGTGAAATATGAAAACAATGATCGCTCCCTGTGGCTTGTACAGCACCTCTCATCAGCTGGTATACAATAACGTTTGCATAGATTATGGTGGAGACATTTTTCTTTTTTCCTATGATTACAGACATGTGCAGGAACCACCAACATTAATTACAGCACGCTAGACCACACAGAACCTAAAAGGTACACTTTCACATTTGAGTTCATAAAAAAAATAAATACAAAAAGCGCCTCTTTTTTAGGTGTTTATTATAACACAGAGAACATATTCAGATAATTTAAACACTTTCAATAGTGTTTTATGAAAATTCAAAGGGTTTACTTAAAAATTACACCAAATTTTTGCATTTTAACCTCTGCATGTGGATTTGGGAAGCTTTTAAATTTGGGTAGGCAAAATCCAGGCGGAATTCCCAAAATAACAGCAGAGTTTAACTGGTTAAGCAAACACACCTGAACCCATTAATTTGGACCTAAACAGCACTTGATAATTACAGGCAGGTGTGTTTGATATGGGTTGCAACTGAAATCTGCAGGAATGTGGATCTCCAGGAACTGGGTTGATCACCCCTGATTTAGAGAATGTTTTCCTACTATTAAAGAGAACATTCTGGGAACTTAAAGAGAACTGTCCACTAATAATGTGACGAATGTCAGAAAATAATGTTCTAAAATGGTTACCAGCGAATGTGGTTGGGATGTTTCTAGAAAATGTCTTCTTATCCTGTAAGGCAGGGGTGTCAAACTCAATTCCTGGTGGGCCGAAGCCCTGCACAGTTTAGTTCCAACCCTGCTCCAACACACTTACCTGTAGGTTTCAAACAAGCCTGAAGGACTCAATTAGTTTGATCAGGTGTGTTTAATTAGGGTTGGAACTAAACTGTGCAGAGCTGCGGCCCTCCAGGAACTGAGTTTGACACCTGTGCTTTAAGGGAATGTTCTGGGAACTAAAACAAAACTACCCGCCGAAAACAGTAATGCAACATTGCTTGGTAATATTCTCAGAGCATTCATTCATTCATTTTCTTTTCGGCTTAGTCCCTCCACCAATCTGAGGTCACCACAGCGGTATGAACCACCAACTTATCCGGCACGTTTTTACCCACTGGATGCCCTTCCAGCCGCAACCCATCTCTGGGAAACATCCACACACACACACACACACTCATACACTACGGACAATTTAGCCTACCCAATTCACCTGTACCGCATGTGTTTGGACTGTGGGGGAAACCGGAGCACCCGGAGGAAACCCACGCGAACACAGGGAGAACATGCAAACTCCACACAGAAACGCCAGCCGAGGTAGGAACCAGCCACCTTCTTGCTGTGAGGCGACAGCACTACCTACTGCGCCACTGCGTCGCCCCATTCTCAGAACATGTAGAGAACTAAACATTTCTAGCTGGGGATTATCTCACGCTGAAATAGAGAGCGGATATTTTTGTTATTTCACTTTGTGCTTGATAGTAATTTACCAAGAGCTGTTTTTAGCACGTTTAGATGTGTCACAACCTGAGGAGACTGATTGTCCCATCCCTTCATAAACATAATAATAATAATAATAATCCCAGGAGGGATTGCTCCAAATACAGTAGCAAAGTCTTTAGCTGTAATTGGGTATTTATAATGAGACAAAACAATTCCTCATATTTAAAAAGCATTTCTTTGTTATTAAATAATTATCTAACATAAATTATATATTTTTTTGCCCAATTATCAAAGTAAATGGACTTATTTTTGTACAGTAAATCTTAGTTGTGCAAAATTATATAATTATGTGGGGTAAAGTTGTGCTTGTGGATCAAATAGCCCACCCACATGTTTAGGTTGATTCAAGTCATCATGAGCTCATCAATTTTTGTCTTATTATTTTTGATCATATTCTGCAGCTGACGCGCCTGACGTCACGCTTGTATAACATCCGTTTCCTGGTGTTGCAACATCCTCAGATAAAGAGTTAAACTTTTCTAAAATTGAGTTCAGAGTTAAACATTATCAGATCACATGATTGCAGCGGCTCACCTGCTCTCTGGACCTCAGATAAAAGCCTCAGTGTGAAAGTTTCTCGAGAGAGAGAGAGCGCGCGAGCGGAGGACATGGCAACCCGCTGGGGAATTTGTGGATCTGGCAACATCAGTCATGACTTCTGTGTCGCCCTCAGAACTCTCGCTGAGCAAGAGCACCAGGTACAGTACAGTACAACGTTATTAACACACTGTAATGATCAGTATGTTCACGCTTGCTGGGTTTTATAGATAGTTGCAGTTGCGGCAAGAAGTCTGGAAAGGGCACAAAAGTTTGCAAAGACTCATGGGATACCCAAAGCGTACGGCAGCTATCAGGAGCTGGTCAAAGATCCGAACATCGGTGAGTCGAGTTTTGATTTCTCTAATGAATCAATTAACTTTTATTTAACATTCAATGAACTCCTCGTGCAATTTAATATAGTAATTGATAGTATAAAATCTATAGTCATGTATAGCTGCACCATTCGACACATAATACATGCAATACATATTAGTTTTTGATCCATACTGACAAAATAAAGCGTTATACTGTACATGTTATAGTATTTACAACATCTTGTTAATGAATGCTCCAGCGTACCGTAGTTTTAACTAGTAAACTGATCAACTGTATAGTATACTTTAGTTTTTACTACAGTAAAACGTGGTAACTTTAACTTTAAAACTTTACTATAGTATAGCTCAAAACATGATACCTACTATAAACACTATACATTACACTATGAGCATGGTATTTACTATAAACACTATACTATATACACTATGAGCATGGTATTTACTATAAACACTATACATTACACTATGAGCATGGTATTTACTATAAACACTATACTATATACACTATGAGCATGGTATTTACTATAAACACTATACTATATACACTATGAGCATGGTATTTACTATAAACACTATACTATATACACTATGAGCATGGTATTTACTATAAACACTATACTATATACACTATGAGCATGGTATTTACTATAAACACTATACTATATACACTGTGAGCATGGTATTTACTATAAACACTATACTATATACACTATGAGCATGGTATTTACTATAAACACTATACTATATACACTGTGAGCATGGTATTTACTATAAACACTATACTATATACACTATGAGCATGGTATTTACTATAAACACTATACTATATACACTGTAAGCATGGTATTTACTATAAACACTATACTATATACACTGTGAGCATGGTATTTACTATAAACACTATACTATATACACTGTGAGCATGGTATTTACTATAAACACTATACTATATACACTATGAGCATGGTATTTACTATAAACACTATACTATAAACACTATGAGCATGGTATTTACTATAAACACTATACTATATACACTATGAGCATGGTATTTACTATAAACACTATACTATATACACTATGAGCATGGTATTTACTATAAATACTATACTATATACACTATGAGCATGGTATTTACTATGAACACTATACCATACACTAAACATGGTATTTACTATAAACACTATACTATATACACTATGAGCATGGTATTTACTATAAACACTATACTATATACACTATGAGCATGGTATTTACTATGAACACTATATCATACACTATGAGCATGGTATTTACTATAAACACTATACTATATACACTATGAGCATGGTATTTACTATGAACCATACTATACTATACACTATAAACATGGTATTTACTATAAACACTATACTATATACACTATGAGCATGGTATTTATTATAAACACTATACTATATACACTCTGAGCATGGTATTTACTATAAACACTATAATGTATACACTATAAACATGGTGTTTACTATAAACACTATACTATATACACTATAAACATAGTATTTACTATAAACACTATAATATATACACTATGAGCATGGTATTTACTATAAACACTATAATATATACACTATGAGCATGGTATTTACTATAAACACTATAATATATACAATATGAGCATGGTATTTACTATAAACACTATAAAATATACAATATAAGCATGGTATTTACTATAAACACTATAAAATATACAATATAAGCATGGTATTTACTATAAACACTATAAAATATACAATATGAGCATGGTATTTACTATAAACACTATAAAATATACAATATAAGCATGGTATTTACTATAAACACTATAAAATATACAATATGAGCATGGTATTTACTATAAACACTATATACTATATACACATTCTTAATTTGCAGCTGTTCTTTGTAATTGCAGCACGTTAAGCTCTCTTGGCCACTGAAGTACTATATGTATGTATATATATATATATATATATATATATATATATATATATATATATATATATATATATATATATATATATATATATATATATATATACATACAGTATAAAACACTTTACTATAGTACAGTTCAAAAACACTGTAGTATTTCTATAATGTAAAAGTGTGTGTGTGTTTCAGATGTGGTGTACATCGGTGTTGTTCACACTCATCATCTGCCCGTGGGTCTGCTGTTCCTGAATGCTGGGAAGAGTGTGTTGTGTGAGAAACCTTTCACCATGAACGGCAGAGAGCTGCGACAGCTGATTTCAGCTGCCAGAGAGAACAACGTCTTCCTCATGGAGGTGAACATACTAAACAACAAACAAACTACACACACTTGTATTGTACAGCACAGTTGACCACCAATTAAAGAAGACCACCAAAAACTTTATGTTTCAAACAAGGAGCCTTTTTGACATTTCTCAGCAGTCGGTAAACAGTAGCAGTGAATGACACAGTCCTAAAGTGATGGTAAAGTGACGGTGTGGTGTGTTTCTCCAGGCAATGTGGTCCCGGTGTTTTCCGGTGTACTCAGAGATCTCCAGGCTGCTATCGGAGCAGGTGGTGGGCGAGGTGAAGATGGTAAGTGTGTATTTCGGTCTGAATCTCCTGGACCGCATACACACCACCCAGAAGGAGCAGGGTGGAGGATCTCTGCTGTACATCGGCGTCTACTGCGTTCAGTTTGCACTCATGGTGTTTAATGGAGAGAAACCAGAGTCGATCAGCGCCACTGGAGTCCTGCTGCCCTCAGGTCCAAAACCAGACTGAGCAGATACAAACATCACAGACACATGCAGTTACATTTAGCTTGCATTTATATTTATTGTGCATTTAAAGTTGATATGCATATACATTTAGCGTGCATTTACTTATTTGCATTTACATTTATCATGCTTATACATTTGTTTGCATACACATTTAGCATGCATTTACATGCATCATACATGCATATACATTTATTGTGCATTTAAAACGTATATTATATTTATATATTACTTCTTTACCTTGCATTTACATTTGTATCCATATACATTTATCAAGCATTTATTTGCATATACATTTATCATTAATATATTTATTGTGCATTTAATATGTAAATGCATATACATTTATCATGCATTTACATTTATCATGGCTATACATTTATATGCATATGCATTTACATATATTTGCATGTACATTTATCATGCATTTACATTAAAATGAATTTACATTTACAGTATCATGCATCTATATTTATCATGCATACATATACATTTATTGTGCATTTAAAATGTATTTTTATTTATATATGATTTATTTGCATTTACATTTGTATGCATATACATTTATAAGGCATTTATTTGCATATACATTTATCATTCATATACACTTATATTTATCGTGCATTTAAAATGTTTTTGTTCATTTATCAGGAATTTACATTTAAATGCATATAGATTTATAATTCATTTATATTTACAGTTGAAGTCAGAATTATTCGCCCCCCCGTTTATTTTTTCCCCAATTTCTGTTTAACGGAGAGCAGATTTCTTCAACATTTCTAATCATAATAGTTTTAATAACTCATCTCTAATAACTGATTTATTTTCTCTTTGTCATGATGACAGCACATAATATTAGACTAGATATTCTTCAAGACACTTCTATACTGATTAAAGTGACATTTAAAGGCTTCACTAGGGTAATTAGGTTAACTAGGCAGGTTAGGGTAATTAGGCAAGTTATTGAATAACAGTGGTTTGTTCTGAAGACAGTCAGGAAAAAAAATAGCTTAAAGGGGCTAATAATATTGATTTTAAAGTGGTTGTTAAAAATTAAAAACTGCTTTTATTTCAGCCGAAATAAAACAAATAAGACTTTCTCCAGAAGAAAAAAATATTATCAGACATACTGTGAACATTTCCTTGCTCTGTTAAACATCATTTAAAAAATATAAAAAAAGAGAAAAAAATTTAAAGGGGGGCTAATAATTCTGACCTTAACTGTATATGCATATAAATGTGTAATGCATTGTCATGTATATGCATTTACATGTAGATTATCCTGCATTTACATCGATATGCATATATCTTTATTATGTATATAAAATTTATACATATATATATATTAATTATAATTTACATTTATCATGTTTTTGTATTTATATGAATTATAAATCTATAATGCATTTACATTTACATGCATAAGCATTTATCTTGCATTTACAATTATATGATTTTACAATTGTATACATATTTATTGTGCATTTACCTTTATCATGCATTTACATATATATATATGCATATACGTTTATCAAACTATTACATTCATATGCATATACTGTTATTGTGCATTTATTTGCATTTACAATTATCATACATATATATTTATATGCTTTTACATTTGTGTGCATATTTATTGTGCATTTAAAATGTATATGCAAATACATATTTATCTTGAATTTACATTTATATGCATATACCTTTATCATGCATTTATATTTATTGTGCATTTAAAATGCATATGCATATACGTTTGGCATGCTTTTTTATTTGCATTCATATGAATCATGCATTTACATTTATCATGCATTTACATGCATATTCCATTATTCATGCATGTATAATTGTCATATATTAGTGTATAAATGCCTTAGATATAATTGTATTAGTTTTAGTTTCAACAAACTATTATAGTCATATTTTGAATTTTATTTTATTTTATATATATATATATATATATATATATATATATATATATATATATATATATATATATATATATATATATATATATATATATATATATAATTACTTTGAGTCAGTTTTTTCCTGTTTTTTTATTTAATTTAGTTTTTTATCATCTGTATTTTTTTAGTTTTGACTTGTACATCTTTAGGTTTATTTTTTCATTTTCAGGTATACTATAGATTTTATTTAGAATGAGATTTTATTAGTCATATTCTTCGTAATTTTTGTGTTTTCTATATTTAATTGTGTCTGTGTAATTGATGAGCACAGTCAGTATAGTTGTGCTTGTGCAGAGTGTGTATAGCAGATGATCTGACCTGCTGCTGGTCTTCTGGCAGGTGTGGACGAGTCCATGGTGGTGGTTCTGAAGTTCTCAGGGAACAGAATAGCTGTGTGTTCCAGTTCTCTGGCCTGTGCTCTTCCCAACACAGCCTCCATCTTTGGAACCACAGGAACCATCACTGTGAGCAGAACACATGGAGTACATTCATAGACACACACACACGTATGCACAAATGCCCACACATATGCATAGATGCGCACACACACACAAACACAATCATGAACACACACATATACCCACATATTCACACACATGCACACACTCTCATTCATAAACAAACACACACAGTCTAATATACAGTGCTTAATATTATGTTATTATATTATAAATATAAGTTATTATATATTATAACTTATATATTTATTATAAGTTATTATATTATTAATATTATACATTACTATCAAAGTGAGTGAATGAGTGTGTATGCATATCTGTGTGTGTATGAATATATGTGTGTGTTCATGACTATGTGTGCATGCATGCCTGTGTGTGTGTTTATGTTTGTGTATGTGTCAGTAACGCTCTGCTTTCCTGATCAGGTGTCTTCCCCCATGCACTGTCCCACTACACTGGAGGTCAACGGGCAGAAGTCGGAGTTTCCTCTTCCTGATCCACGTCTTCCGCTCAACTTCCCCAACAGCACCGGCCTGAGATATGAAGCTGAAGAAGTCCGACGCTGCCTGCAGAAAGGTGAACACACCATCACAAACACACAGTTTCAGCATGATCACCTACAGTTAAAACTATTCGCCCTCCTGTGAAATATTTCCCAAATGATGTTGAACAGATTCAGGAATTTTCCACAGTATTTCCTCTAATATTTTTTCTGCTGGAGAAAGTCTTATTTGTTTTATTTCCGCTAGAATAAAAGCAGTTTTTAAATATATTAAAACCATGTTAAGGTCAATATTATTCGCCCCCTTCAGCAATATTAGTGTTGGATTGTCTCCAGAACAAACCACTGTTATACAATGACTTGCCTAATTCCCCCAACTTTACCCTAATTACCCTAGTGAAGCCTTTACATGTCACATTAAGCTGAATACTAGTGTCTTGAAGAATATCTAGTCTAATATTATGTGCTGTCATCATGGCAAATGCATCTGTGTGTGCTAATCATTGTGTGTGTCAGGTCTGAAGGAGAGCATCAGGATGTCTCTGGCCGACTCTGAGCTGGTAATGGAGATCATGGACGAGGCCCGGCGGCAGGTGGGCGTGGTTTATGAGCAGGACAGCCAATGACGGCCCTCCATTCTCTAATGGACATCTGCAGCTCTGAGATTAAACTTGAACATTTGGGTGTCCAAGCAATAAAATACACATTAATACAATAATCAATGGAGTCTCTGCTTCCTTTGTCATGATATTGAGATTATAAAGTTGATTTTTGTATGACACTTGTGTGACGTTGGGTCATTTTCATGATTTTGAGTCTTAATTTGGCCACAACCTTCTCTGTTTTAGCAAATTAAGATGCAAATTATTTAGCAAATTATGACAAATCTTACATATTTTGGGAAAATGCTTCCAAAATGTACTAGTCTCTGTGCAAATTGACTCTCCTTTGCTTATGTTGGTGCTGTTTTTGCTCCATTGACTTTCATTATAGTCACATTTTTTGATTGCAAAGCCGTGACAGCAGAAAATCATGCATTCTTGGTTGTTGCTGGTTTTCACTGTTGGGAAGAGGTAAAGTTTCTTGTTGGTATTGTATATATTTATTGTTGTATGACTTGTGGTGTTCAAATATACACTCACCGGCCACTTTATTAGGTACACCTTCCTAGTACCGGGTTGGACCCACTTTTGCCTTCAGAACTGCCTTAATCCTTCATGGCAGAGATTCAACAAGCTACTGGAAATATTTCTCAGAGATTTTGCTCCATATTGACATGACAGCATCACACAGTTGCTGCAGATTTGTCGGCTGCACATCCATTATGCCAATCTCCCGTTCCACCACATCCCAAAGCTGCTCTATTGGATTGAGACCTGGTGACTGTGGAGGCCATTTGAGTACAGTGAACTCATCGTCATGTTCAAGAAAACAGTCTGAGATGATTGAGCTTTATGACATGCTGCGTTATCCTGCTGGAAGTAGCCATCAGAAGATGGAGACACTGTGCTCATAAAGGGATGGACATGGTCAGCAGCAATACTCAGGTAGGCTGTGGTGTTGATACATAATTGGTACTAATGGACCCAAAGAAAATCTCCCCCACACCATTACACCACCACCACCACCACCAGCCTGAACTGCTGACACAAATGGAGACTCATCAGAGCAGCAACGTTTCTCCAATCTTCTATTGTCCAGTTTTGGTGAGTCTGTGTGAATTGTAGCCTCAGTTTCCTGTTCTTAGCTGACAGGAGCGGCACCCGGTGTGCTCTTCTGCTGCTGTAGCCCATCCGCCTCAAGGTTGGACGTGTTGTGTGTTCAGAGATGCTCTTCTGCAGAGCTCGGTTGTAACGAGTGCTTATTTGAGTCACTGTTGCCTTTCTATTAGCTGGAACCAGTCTGGCCATTCTCCTCTGGCCTCATCAACAAGGCATTTGCGCCCACAGAACTGCCGCTCACTGGATGTTTCCTCTTTGTCGGAGCATTCTGAGATGGTTGTGTGTGAAAATCCCAGTAGATCAGCAGTTTCTGAAATACTGCCACGTTCAAAGTCTCTTAAATCCCCTTTCTTCCCCATTCTGATGCTCGCTTTGAACTGCTGCCATCTGATTGGCCGACTCTGATTAGAAATTTGCATTAAAGAGCAGTTGGACAGGTGTACCTAATAAAGTGGCCGGTGAGTGTCTAACGCTCTAATGTGAAATGTAGAGTTTGTCGCCACCTGTCGGTCCCTTCAGTAACACACACACACACACACACACACACTCGGCATGATGGCGCTCAGATGGGGGATCTGCAGCGCTGGAAAGATCAGTCATGACTTCACTGTGGCCCTGAGGACTCTACCAGCAGAACAACACCAGGTAATTACACTACAGAAATAACAGCAGAAGGTGAACAATAACACACACACACACACCTGACAGACAGACCTGTGATCACCTGACAGAAGAAGATCAGGAGACACTACAGAAAACTGCTAAACTGACTGCAGGATAAACACACACACTAGTCGAACACTTTTAAACTGCTGACACACACACAAACTCACATATTTAATGTAGAAGACACTTTCACCGCGCTTTCCATTAACTTTTTGAAGATTTGCTGAATGTAAACAAATGTGAGGAAGTTATGACTGTGCCGCGGAGAAACAGCGACACTCCTCTGATCTGGACAACAGCAGTACTGCACCAGACAGCCGTCTGCTTGTGCTTGATTTTGATAACAAGTGTTTTACGCACAACAATATTAAATGTATAAATATATACAGACAACATATTTATTACTCTTATATAACGCATCAGTATTTTTGAACGTTTTGTGATATAGTGATATAGTGAAGTGATATCTATAGTACTCTAGTACATGTTAGAAAAAAAAATCGAGGTAAAGTTGGTTTTATATTAGCACATTCTGACTTTCTGCTTAATAATATAATTTCAGAAAAGTATTCTTTGCAAAATCTAAATAGTGAAATCATATTAGCAGCCACTGACTATCAAAGTACAACATTGTTCACAGTCACCCTGCTGAAAAAACAGCTTAAACCAGCCTAAGCTGGTTTTAGCTGGTTAGTAGAGGGGTTTTGGCCACTTCCAGGTGGGTTTCCACCTATTTCCAGCCTAGTCTTAGCTGGTCAGGCTATGACCAGCTAAAACCAGCTAGGTCATCTCCCAGCCTAACCAGCTAAGACCAGGCTGGGAATGGCTGGAAACCAGCCTGGAAATGGCCAAAACCCCTCTAAAACCAGCCTGGTTGACCAGCTAAAACCAGCCAACCAGCCTAGGCAGATTTAAGCTGTTTTTTAAACAGGGCAATTAGTGCTAATATTGTTTTGAAGTCATCCTGCATGCTATTTCAGACTCAATATTCAACTTAGCATGGTAAACAACATATGGGCTGTTAAATGAACGAATGTGCGAATATCAAACTTACTTTAGCTCAAATAGAGAAAACATGATTTCTTTTACTAAGCATTGTATTAATCATGTTTTTTTGCAATTGTAGCTACTCTTCAATACTCAATACATTATATCTGAAAATGGCGTCAGGCTTTTTGCAAAATAATATGAAGTGAAAGTAAAACGTAATATAGAAATAAATGTAAATAAAACATGAAATTAGATTTTATTGTTATTATTTTACATGTCATTTTTTTTGTTGTTGAATCTCTCAGGTGGTGGCCGTGGCTGCGCGTGAGTTGGCGCATGCGCAGGAGTTTGCACAGAAGCACAGTATCCCGCGCGCATATGGCAGCTATGAGGAGCTGGCTGAAGATCCAGAGATCGGTGAGACTGATCTCAGAACAGCTTCAGTGCAAAATCTAGTGATGGGAGAAACGAAGCATTTCAAACAAATGATTCACCGTTTCAAAGCTTTCAAAACACCACATTAGAACTGACTATCAAAAATATTGCTTACTACTTTATGTATATATATATATATATATATATATATATATATATATATATATATATATATATATATCACAAAAATATCTAGGTAATATTAATATATAATGTATATATAATTATTTTTAATGTTTTTTTATCTTTAGTAAAACCTACTAATGTTAGCAACATGTTAAAACTTGTTAGCAAAGTGCTAAAACATGCTAAAACATGTAAATTTTATAACATGCATAAAAACATGCTAGTAATTGAAACAAAGCTGTAAAGTAGTAGTTTCCTGTTAGCAATATTTTACATTGTAAATATTAACCAAAAACAAGCTAATTGTACGCTGTATATTTCAGTGACGTGCTACAGACATGAACAATGGGATCAAACATGCTGACTTGTATACACGTTTCAGACGTGGTGTGCGCAGCATCTAGGTAGCAAGTAAAACCAAATAGCAATGTGGTAAAACATGTGAATTGTTAAATATGTAATTTAAAACATGCTAGTAATTTTTAAAAACATGTTAGCACAGTTGCAACACACTAAAAACAGTACGCATTCCTGTTAGCCATGTGTTAAAACATGTTATGTGCTAAAAACATGATAGCAACATGTTAAAACATGTCAGTATAACTTTAAAATCAAACATTGTTTTAAACACAAATGTTATATATGTTTTAAACACAAAAATAAATCCATAGATACCTTAAAATGTATGCAGCGTTGGCAATGTTTGTTTTTCAGGCACTGTCTGAGAATAATGCTATTTTATTTACAAAAATTTAAATGTTTTCCTTTTATATATATATATATATATATATATATATATATATATATATATATATATATATATATATATATATATATGTATATATATATTTATTTATTTATTTTTTTAAACAGTTCTATCTGGTTCTTGAATCTAATTGGCTGATAGCCGTGCGATATTCTGCAATATCAGAACTCCTACAGCCTATTTACCCTTTGTGTATTACTCCGCCCACATACAGCCAGCAAAAAGCAGACACTACAGATCTAAAATTTAAAAGATGCTTTTAACTGTTTTAACAGCTGTTTAACTGTCAGCTTATTATTTGAATCCAAGGCGGAAGAAAGTAGTTCCTCATACAAAAGGGTCTTTGAGACTCTCCATGTTTGATTTAGTTTTTATATACACAATTATGTCGTCAAACTGTTGTATAAACGCAATATCACACGAGTAGCAGTGCAATATGGCTGTATATCTGCACTGGTGGGGGCACCAAGGCACACGACCTGCAGCCTCGTACCAACGCACGCCTCCCACCAGTGCCGATATACAGCCATATCGCACTGCTACTCGTGTGATATTGCTCTTATATATATATATATATATATATATATATATATATATATATATATATGTGTGTGTGTGTGTGTAATTAGGCAAGTTATTTTATAACGATGGTTTGTTCTATAGATTATCGAAAAATTATAGCTTAAAGGGGCTAATAATATTGACATAAAAAAATTTAAAACTGCTTTTTTTTTTTCTAGCCGAAATAAAACAAATAAGACTTTCTCCAGAAGAAAATACATTATCAGACATGCTGTGAAAATTTCCTTGCTCTGTTAAACATCATTTGGGAAACATTTGAAAAAGAAACAAAAAATCAAAGGGGGGCTAATAATTCTGACTTCAACTGTATGTATACATCTGCATCTTGTTTAAGGTGTGCCAGATGGCACTTTGGGTGGCTCTGGCACACCCCTGGCTACGCCCCTGGTCAATATCAATTTAAAATTGTGTAAATGTAACAATAAACATTGT